TGGATGGTATGTTGTAGTTTTGGAATTAAACGCTCCCCAAAACAGCTAAACTATAATTATTAACCCTCAAAAATTATTCATTTTTATCCTTTTATAGTGAAGTGGCTTGATGATTTAGATACAGATAATATTTCAAGTTTCAGATAATAGATAATCAGAGTTGGAAGGGACCTTGTAGGTCATCTAGTCCAACCCCCAGCCCAAGTGGGAGACTCTACACCATTTCTGACAAATGACAGTCCAATCTCTTCTTGAAAGTCTCAAGTGATGGCGCTCCCACAACTTCCAAGGGCAAGCTGTTCCATGGGTTGATTGTTCTCACTGTCAGAAAAATTCTCCTTATTTCCAGGTTAAATCTCTCCTTGTTCAGTTTCCATCCATTATTCCTTGTCTGGCCTACAGGTGCTTTAGAAAATAGCTTGACCCCTTCCTCCTCTCTGTGGCAGCCCTTCAAATATTGGAAGACCTCTATCATGTCTCCACTGGTCCTCCCCATTACATTCCTTGTATGTTTTAGCCTCCAATCCCCTAATCATCCTGGTTGCTCTTCTCCGTACTTTTTCTAGAGTCTCAACATCTTTTTTATAATGTGGTGAACAAAACTGGATGCAGTACTCTAGGTGTAGTCTTACTAAGGCTTTATAGAGTGGTATTAGTACTTCCCTTGATCTTAATTGTATCCCTCTGTTAATACAACTTAGGATTGCTTTAGTTTTTTGGCTGATGCTGCACACTGCTGGCTCATATTTAGCTGGTAGTCTACATTATGTTTCATTAAATTGAAATTTCCCCATCAGTTCCTCGAACATAAAGAGGTAAAGTTATCAAAACTTTCATCAGATGTCTAATGTTTGGAACATGAGATTGACTGTCAGAACAATTTAAAGAAAATTAAACTTTATTTTTTCTCCATACTCCACTGAGAGCTATTTGAGTCTTTGTTAGGCATACTAAGCTTTTAAATGAAGTCAAGTCACTGTACAATACGTCTTTGTGTGATCTGGTTGCTGGTGATGAGCAGTTTCTTCCATCATTGTCCATCTAAGGATAGATTATGACTGGTCATTACTGAAGGCACACTGTTAACATGATGATTCCGTATTTTATTGTACTGCATTGAAATATATTCTGTATTTTTTCACAGCCCTCTTATGACATCACTGATTTTCCTGCCACCAGAATTCAGTGATGTAGAAATGTAGAAAAACATTCAATATAGGTTAAAAAAGCAAGGCTACCATCAAAAACACAAAAGCCAAAGGCTTCTCTTCTATAAAGCCATATCCAGGGATGCATAATCTTGATCTTGCCTTGCCTTGAATACGTAAAATATCTGCTAAGGTTATTGACATTCTTCTGATGATCCCATGATTTTTTTCTTATTTTTATAAAAATAATACAAACAAATAATACAAATAATACAAACATAATACATATAAATCTAAATACAAAAAAGGGGGAAAGAGGCAAAAAAAAATTACAGTGCATTCCCCTCCAAGACCATTTTATCCCTTATATTTCTTCTTCTGTAACAACTAAAAAATATACAGTATATTTCCAATTGTGCCTTATCCCCTCCAAAACAACATATATTCTTGAACAGGTTTATTCCCTTTGCCTTCTACCAACACTGTTTTTATAAAATCCCCCATATTTCATTATATCCCATAACTTGATCTCATGGTTTGCATCAAATTGTATTGGTAATATTTTGCTGAAGAAAGAAAGAAAAACTCTTATTCGTTGCTCCCGTTTCAAATTCTAATAAGGCTATTTGTTTTTCTTAGCCTAAGAAGGAGGAAGGGACAGAGGAAGGAAGGAAGGAAGGAAGGAAGGAAGGAAGGAAGGAAGGAAGG